ACTGATTGTGAGAGTTGCTTTGCAACAGAAAACTTGTCAATACTTGAAGAAAACGCGTCATCGGCACTAAATAAGAGATCCTCTAGGTTTCGGCCATTTACAAGCTCGGWTACTAAATAAATAGAGTTCTTTGTATAGGAAATTGCCATCATTTGTACAATGTTCGGSTGCCGAGCTAAGCTGTGTACCTTTGCCTCTTTGTTAACGACGGAACGTAGACGAGCTGCATTTCGCATTTTTACTTGCTTAATCYCGACTTCTGTGCCGGCCCACTTGCCCCTATATACTGTACCATAGGTACCGCTTCCAATGATATCTGAGGAGGAATATTGGATGTCTTCACTGTCAATAACTGGGAGTTGAGGATCACTGTTTCCTGAGGACTGTGAGGACGTTGACGTAGATGACGAACAGGCCTCAACCGGCTGATTGACTGCAACGTCGACATGGACCGTTTCAGACACCTCACTTCTATCATTGCAGCGAACTTCGACTTTGTACTTGCCAGGCGACGTAATGGGTAGACAGCAATTTTGGTTTCCCTCCTTGCAAATGACATCATCTCGATACCAGACGTACCACATACCAGATGTTTTGTGGCATGAGGCTACGACTCCCAATAGGAGCTGTTTTCCATCGTAGCCCCATATTTCCGATGGCGAGTGGAGAATAAGGGTCTCGGTTTCTGTCTTTTTTGATTGTGGAAATTGAACAATTGGGGTCTCTCCATCATCTGATACTCCTGAGCACATGTAATACTTCCCTTCTTTCATTATGTCGCATATGGTGTATCCATAGTCAATTGGGTCAAACTCTGACATCTTCAACTCTAGAATTTCAAAGACAGAGTAGGACAGCATGTCGAAGCAYTCTTTCCTGTTGAAGGAGACAAGTCTGCTGATTACCTCTTCCGAGTAGGATGAAGAAGTTTCTTTCTCGTAGCCAATAGTAAGATTGCTTGCGCTGCTGAATGGAGTGATTTCATTCCCTTTCTTCATAACCAATATAGGACAATCTTCAACCAACGTAACGTGATCCACCTCTGCAAGTTCTTGCTCTTGCTCTTGCGTATCCGATAATTCTACTTGCATTGCTTCGTCATTCTCTTCGTTTGTAGAGGACATTAAATACAATGTGAGCTTACTTGAATAGAGTCCTCTGCACTTTAGATATTCATCAAAACTACAGGGGTTTCCAGCTGTGTCTAGAAATGTCGACAACGGCTCTTGTGCATAGTTTCCTAGTTTTATGTCCATTTCCGCCAAAGACCCATATTTACATTTTCCTTCTGGAAAGAAATACTTGATCGCTGTATCCTTTATATGTTGGAGAGTCAGTTCTTCATCTTCCCTGTATGTAATTTCTCGTACAGCGCCACCATCCTTCAGCTGCTTGACTTGTTTGTACTTTTCTCCACCACTTGAGCGATGCAGCCATCCCACGTACATTTTTCTTGTTTTGACGGATCTTTTCGCCACAGCGCCTACAGATTTTTTTGCCACAGATTTCTTTTCATTTACCCGTATTTTGTTTACGATACTCTGAATTCTTTGTGCTGCAGAAAAATAAAAATAAAATTGTTCATTACGTTTACATTTTTATCTTGACTTATCTTGTTTTCCATTTTCATTTGTTTTTGTTTTCAGACATATTGAAATGCAGATGTCATGTTTTCTTTTTTTTTACAAAAATTCGATAGTAATGCTTAATGTGCCTTGTCACATGACGTCCTGCATTTACAGTACCAGGGGCGGATACAGGGGGGGTGAACTGGGTGAACGTTCACCCCCCTTTTTCCTGGATAAATTGAATATAGAAATATTCATATCAAGGAAATAGGGAAATAATTGGTTGATATTTCGATAAACAACACTTTTCAAAAGGACTAACACTTTTTAGCGTCTCGGGCATCTAAGAACACACATGCATTCGCGGAGCTTTGGT